AAAAAAAAAAAAAAAAGTTCAAAGTTCAAACAATTCATTCAGAAATTTCGAATAGTAATTTTGGAATAATTTTTGGTTTATTTGAGATTCATAAGTATGTTTAGACCAAATTTATAAGATGTGAAAAGTTCAACACCCTTTACATAAATTAATTAACAATTTATAATGTTTTTTCTTTAATTTTTTAAGTAAGGGCATTTTCGTATTTCTAACATGAATTTATTTGATTTTTTATTTACTTAAATAAGCAAAAAGACATGTCTCAATCACTTAAGGGATACCTGTTGTTAAGTATGTACAAGCCAAAATACAAGGTTAGCTGATGGTAGAATTACCCAAGAAAGAAATCAATGGATGTTCCACAAACTCTGGAGGAATCTTTGTTGTGAGCAAGACTGTTAGTGATTTGATTGAATTGGTAAGCAGTACTGGTTAGTTTGGTAGTGTATGCAGTTATAGCTTGCTTGTTTTTCTGTTTTTAGTTTCTTTTTACCTTTTGGTGTAGTTTAGCTGTACTTTGGTTGTTGTTTTTCTGTTGCCTTTTGTGAGTGCTTGGCCAGGTCCTTCGGGTTCAGTGGTCATTTTTTCTTTTGTGAGATGTCTTAGTATTGCAACAGGGTATGATAACGAATTCATGCTTTTGTCACTGCTGCCGGCTAGAAGCCTATTCTTGGTTTTATTTAATTGTTCTAGGTTACTATTGGTTAGTGCTCCTCCAAGTATAGCTCTTGTTAGGGTGCTTGGCTATTTAGCCTTCGATGATACATCTTTTTTATTGAATAATATTTATCGTTTAGAAAAAAAAAAAAAATTATTAAAATTCAATTTTAAGTGTGCCTTTGAGAAATGATCTCCAAAATCTCTATCATTATTTTAGTAGAATGAATTTCTTTGGAGAATCAATTTATTTTTAAGTAAATATTAAATATGATATAGTTATTAATATGATTTTTTGTGTCAAAATATTTAATTAGAGAAGTGTAACAAACAGATGGGTCATAATAAAATGTTGTATAACTTGTGGGGCAAACTAGTGCAAATTTCGTTACACAAAGGGCAAATAAGCAATTGAACCCGCAACGGGCTGGGGACCAAATCATAAATTCGTCTAACGTTGTGAGGCTCGTCTCTATAACCTTCTATCCACGCCACGAAAACTGGGGCACACTAGGAAACGAAAAATACAAAGAAGCCCAATATCCTTGCAAGAAGTTCAGAATTTTCGTTTTTCATGGCGTCGAGTTTGCCATGGCATCCTCTACTCTCCTCCAAGCCCCAAAAGCGTAATTTTTATCGGCCAAATCCCATTCCAATTCGCCAAGTAGCGAGGTTCCGAGCCTTCAGGCGCAGCGACATCGATGGATTCGCCCAGCGCGTGACCTCCGGCGAACTGTGGCGTGACGCGTGGCGGAGAGCTAACGACGGGTTCGAACAGTTCGTTTACGACACCAGGAAGACGGCGGAGCGAATTGACCGGAGGTACGCCGTCTCGAGGCGTCTATCGTCTGTGGCGCAGTCCGCCGCCTACCGAGCTCGTGAGCTCGACCGGGAGTTTGAAATTACTCAAAAATGGCGGACTTTTTCGATGGATTTTAGCAGAGATTTGCCGACGGTAATGGAAACTTTCATATCTTTTTAATTTCTGCGAGATAAAGTTGAAGATTTTGATGCTAATTGGGGATAAAATTTGATTTTAAATATTGTTCCTGTGCCGTTGTTGTTTGCAGTACAGGAGGCAGATCACTGATTTTCTGGATACTCCTTTGGGGAGAAGTTTTGCGGTAATTTTTACTCTAATTTCCGGTGTCTTTAGCTTCCGAATGTGAATTGGTTTTGACTGAATGCCCAAATGCTACTTTCATCTGTAGTTACCACTAACTGCTTTCATTTGGTTGCCCTATGTTTTTTTTTTTCTTTAAAATTTATAGAACTATTGTAAATGTTTGTGTTTTGTATCTGTACTGTAATATGATGGGGCATAATTTGATGAAGAAAGATAATATAGGGATGGTCATGTGGAAAACTAGTTCTTTCTCTAACGTTCATGTCTATTGTGTTGTTTTCGCTCAAATCGAATTTTATGATCACTTACACAATGTTATTATTATACTCGCGTTCAGAACTTTGATATGATTCACAAGCCTTTCTTGATATCTGTGAAAAATGTGTTGATTCACTAAAGTGATGATGAGTCTTTTTCTAGATGTGAGGGTACTTGCTTTGCAGTTTGCAGAATTTGTGGTGTTGTATCTCTGTGTTCTAATTTCGATATGTGAATATGTATCCCTGTGCAGACACTTCTGTTTGTATGGTTTGCTCTCTCAGGATGGTTATTTCGAATTTTGATTTTCGCAACATGGGTATTGCCGCTTGCTGGACCTCTCTTGATTGGGGCTGTTGCTAATAATCTCGTCATTAAGGTGATATTTCTGTTCATTGGTTTTCGAAGTAACTATCTGAAGGATATATGGTTCTCTTAAATATATTGGTCTTGTTTTAAAATTAGCGGACAGTTGATTGTTTTAGCAATAGCTGATAGCTTCTTTGATTGGCCAAGCAGTTTATATATTGTTGTTTGGCAAACTACTAATACCTGAATAACTAGATAAATGTAAAGAATGACTAATAAGCATATTATTGTAAGTTATCAAACTATATTCTACCTTTTCTACCAATATTAATATATGTGGTGATTATTAGAACAAAAATACATATAATGGCATTTGCATAGACAAAAAATGCTTATTATTACTATGGATGGATTATAAAATAGTTCTGGCTATAAATTATTTAGTCATTATTCAAATTTGTGAGTTACTCTATAAATAATTTCTAAAATTTATTTATGTTTCATGTTCTATTTCACTCCCCGATGGAGCACATGGAAATATAATTAAAAATGAAATAAAATAAAAAATACTCTAAAATATAAAAAATATGAAACACATAAAAGAAATTATTTACAATTAGGTAGGACAAAGTAAAATAAAATGGGTAATCAATTCAATCAAGGTGCAACAAGCTAACAATTTGAAAAAAATGCAAAAGAGGTATTAGAAAGTATATTTCAAATTTAACATTCAATTTTTTTTCTTTTTATATTTATGATTTTTTTTATTCTCTTACGCCAAAATTCTTTTCTTTTTTTTTTTTCTCAAAAGTTGGTATACGTAGCATTTTCTAACCAATTTTTTGGACCTAATAAACTAATTGAATTATTGGTAATTAGCAGACATTCAAATTAGATGTTTGACTTGTCAAACCTCTAATATTGGCTTCGAACTTTTGTTCACCAAAGAAAGCCAGTGAGGCAAATCAAACAACTTAATTTGAAGGCATTTGCAAGCGTCAAAGTGAATTAAGCATTGAGTATCAAATATCAAATGCTGAAGCAATGTTTATGAATTCAACTAGGCTTTGAAGATTTTGTAATTTGTTTCTTGAGCCAAGCTTCTTATTCTTTATCACTTTGGTGACTTCATTTGCTAAACCTGTTTGCATCATTTTTAACATATGCATTGTATATATTAGAGTATTGTTTTTGCATCAGTTTATTATTATTATTATTATTATTATTATTATTATTATTATTATTATTATTATTATTATTATTATTATTAT